AAGTTGGACTGTAAGTTATCAAAGTGATCTCTGACATATGAAACATATACATCAATCCTGGGTGTAATTACATTTTAAATTATAACACTTGTCTTCAAACAGTTTTGAAGCATTTGAACCACCTCACCTGGCGCTTTGTAGTCTTCTCATGGTAAATTCATTAAATTAAATAAATAATTAGAAAAACCTTTGGAATGTCTCCATCCATTCTTGTGAACCCAAAATCTTTCAATATGTCTTCAGACCTGAACATAGACTTACACCCCTTTAAGTCATCAAAAGTAAATTCATTTTAATTAATAACATCATATGATAATATTTGATGTATTTATGAGTGTATAATCCTATAATTTTCTAAAATATCTGAATTCTCTATATTTTAAGGATATATAGTTTGTGTATAATTCAGTTTAGGCTTAACTAGTCTGTAGCTTATATTACAGTTTTTTATTCTTGTAAATTCTAAGGTGGTTCTATAGCTAAAGAAGCTCTGAAAACGCTCAAGTTTTGTGTTTTCACATAAAAAATGGTTTAAACAATTTCTAACTATTTTAAAAAATGACTTTACAATGGCGGCTGCACAGTGGCGCAGTTGGTAGAGCTGTTGCCTTGCAGCAAGAAGTTTCTGGGTTCAATTCCCAGCCCGGGGTCTTTCTGCATGGAGTTTGTATGTTCTCCCTATGCATGGTGGGTTCTCTCCAGGCACTCTGGCTTCCTCCCACAGTCCAAAAACATGACTGTCAGGTTAATTGTCCCCAGGTGTGAGTGTGTGTGCATGGTTGTTTGTCCTGTCTGTCTCTGTGTTGGCCTGCAACTTACTGGTGACCTGTTCAGGTTATACCCTGCCCCTTGCCCAGAACGTTAGCTGGAAATAGACCCCACTAAGGGACAATGGTGTTAGAAAATGGATGGATGGACTTTACAATGTAGACTTAGTTTTGTTAGTGGGTGATTCTCTGAATTTGTTGCCTTTTGGGGCCTATGGTTACTAAAAAATATACCACAAAAATTGTGTTTTTGAACACTGCAGTACTCTTTGAACCTTCAAGAAAATATGTTTCCCCACTTTATGCATGAAATCCCAAACATTAATACGAATTTCTTTGCTGCTTAGGTTGCTTTAAATTCAACCCCGTAACGGGACAATTTCATTCCTCTGAGAATAACTCAATAACATAGTTAAACTAACTCTTCCAGTTCCTTTGAGATCACCTGTCCCTTGATTAAAATAACTAATTGTAAGTATATTTTATTTGTTTCTGAATCATAATAATTAGACTGATAAGAAGAATTAGGCAACTTGATGCCTAATTCTCATAAATAAATTCTCATAAATCATGAAAATACACTTAAAAATAAAAATTTAAATCAGGCTTTTCTATGTTTTTGAATCATTCTTTAAATTTTGCATACAGTCCAAGAAATATTAGTCTAATATTTGCTGTTATTATAAAAAAAATTACAACAATGTATCGCGTTATGGGATTGAACCCATTGTAAAAGTTGACCAGACTGTAACAGAGTTGAACACACTTAACAGTCCATCGTTCAACCCCGTAACAAAACCACCATTTCTGTAACATGTAAAGTGCTATTTTATATATAATTAATGTATTTTTCTCATATTTATTTTATTTAGGTTAAAGTATACCTAAAAATGTTTATAATGGTACAAATAACTTGCAGTTACTGGCTATTTTTATTTGTTTTATATTCATTGAAAAATTAACATTGGTCAGTGGGGACATGCTCATTTGGCTAACCTCTACACTTCAACAACCCATAAAATTTTTCAAAACATGATTTTTAAAATAGATTTGCATGTTATATTACCAAGACACATGAATATTTACATTTCTTGATTTTCTCAAAAGAAATTTGTTTGCATTAAATGAAAATCTTTGAGATAAACCTGTGGGACACAAAATGCACAGAATTCAGAGAATCACCCAGTGGCTAACAGTTAGCTACACTGTAAGCCCTAACAAATTCACAGAACTCAAAAATCATTTTGTAACAGATTACACAAAAATATTTTAGTGATGTTTTTAAATGTTTTAAGTTTACATAAAATAAAAATTACAGGTGCAGTTGCCTTAAATTATCTCAACATTGTCTTATAAATATTGATATTTCTCAACTTATGATTAGGGAATATTTAACTTAAAATTTTCAATATATTCAACTCATATAATGCTGGAAATAAACTCAAAATTTTTGAGTTTTTTCAACTCATAATGCTGGAAATACACCAACATTTTTCAATATTCCTCAACTCATAATCTGGGGACATGCACTCAAAATTAACCCTATACTGAAATAGTGAAGTGACACCACAGTGACAATTGAACAATTTTTATTCATTTTTTGTTATTCAATACAATGTGCTTTTTAAGAGAAACAAATCAATCTAACCTAGTTCACCGCTACAGTGCAATGGCTGAACCTCTTGCACACGGTCTGAAATAAAACAAAATAAAGACAGTGGATAATTGTTTTGTTTTGTTTTTTTTAGAAAATTTTAAACTTTCATACTAAGGATTTTAATTCACACTGAAAAATTATGAGAAATATTAAATTTATGTAAGCAAAATATGAATATTTTCAGGAAATATTGAAAAGCTCTCGCAGTTCTGTTATGAGAGGCTTCTGCTCTCCTTCTCTCTCCCTCTGTCTGGGCCCTGTTTCGGCCCCGTTACCATGGTAATTAATGACTGCAGCTGCAAGTGTGTGTGTGGGAGAGATAGAGATGGCAGAGCCTCCATTGATTTGTATGGGATTTTGTCGTTTTTCGCAATTTATGTCGTCATTTTAACTCAGAATGCCACTAAATATAATAGTGCACTTAACGGGAGTAAGCTGCATGTTTTGATACCACCTTTGTCGGGGTGCATGCAGCAGTTAGGGCTGCATTAAGGGTGATCTAAGAAGAATAAATAATAAAGAAACACCTTATTGGGTGTAGAACATAGGATCCTGACATGCATTGCATGGGCAGACCCCAATAAAGGCAAATTCAAGATGGCTGACTCATCTTACCAGAGGGAGAGATAAGACCCACCCACCAGAACGTTGCTAACGTAATGATACTACACTCAAACCTTTTGAGTGTTCAACACAAATTAGCTATAAAATATTCAGTTAAAGTGGCATAAATCTCAACAGAGCTCAAAACTTTATAGTTTGGTCAACTCCATAACGACATTTGACTGCTGTGAACTTATTAGTTGTGAGCTAGTACAACTGTTTGGGAATACAGTGTAGTCTTTAAAAACCGTGGTCGTATTTCTTACTGCAGTAAAATATAAAAATAAAGCAATGGTTTAATAAATCCCAAACTATTAAAGTATGACTGCTCAATGTTGAGTATAGATGTTACATAACCATTTAGCTTAGTGCCTGAAAGGCAACTTTAGCTTTATTAGTGGCTAACCGTTAGCTAGTCCTTACAAATGGCTTGTATCTTCTTTGCTGTGTCTTCATTCCTTTGTTCAACTGAGTTCCGAAAATGCTTCCACACACATTACTTAAAAGTGGTGAAAGCTTCTACAATGCTTTTGCAACTCAGAGCTGTTAGTGTGCTCTACAGGAAGTCTTCGTTAGTCGACTCAACATAACAGGGGGGCTTTCTTAGCTCAAAATAAGTCTCAAACAGAAAAGTGAAACTGAAAGTATGCAACTTCATAACAAGGGCTCCTATCAATACTTGACACTGACTTCACCTGTTAAAGTTGTTGGATAAGACTTTGCAAAATGGACACCATATTGAATACAGTTGTTCTAAAACTGAGATCTAGTAAATTGATATCTCGTTGCATCCTTGTTTTGATAACCATGTGCTAAAAGTGCCACATGAAAACCTCAATGCAGTATCAGGCATTGCCAAGTCTGATACTGCTCTGGATGTGCCCTACAGCCGTGATAATTAAAATACATGTTTGAGCAGGTAATCCTCTCATTTTTTTTCCAAGCTAAACCTCAGTGGCTCCAGACAATAACAGACACTGCTCGGTCCATCGAGGAGAACCTCTTCTGGGAGTGTAAGGCCAATGGAAAGCCAAAACCATCCTACAGCTGGCTGAAGAATGGCGAGCAAATGGTGGCTGAGGTATGAGCTCTTGTTGCATTTTTCCTTCAGTTATACTGAGGAGACGATGCACAATTTCCAGCGTTAAAAAGATGGGTAATAGTCAGCAATCTATTCCTCCACATATGCAGAGAAGGTGTTTAGTTGAATGTATTACCACACTTGAATGTGTGTTACGTGCTTCTCACAGTTTGCATATTTGCAGAATGGTATCACTACTTGATGGGATAACACATATTGTATGTATAAATTAAATGATAAAATTGTTTTATTTTTTTAATTGGGGTTGTCACTTAATTGTTACTGGGGTGTGACGGGGTTCTCTTATGACTTGGACAAACAAAAAAAAAAAAGACTGCCCAAGGTCAGAGATCACTTTGGTGAAATTTATTTAGCTCTTCTTTAAGTGAACAAAGATGGCAGGTGCAGAATATATGCAAGGACGTCCAAAGAAGGTTAAAATCAGACAAACAGCAGTACCTTCGTCCATCACCTTCCATGTGACTTGTCAGGAGTCAAGCCACAGACTGCCTCCCTGTGGCGCAGAGCCCTGCTTTTAAAGCCACAGGCTCCGCCCACAGAAAGATCAAACAAAAACAATTAATTACTTCTAACTCAAGTAAACTCTTAAAGGATACAAAATAATAATAAAGAGAAAAAAATAAACATCTAATCAAAAATACAATACTCAATTTAATAGAAAACACTCACCTGACACCTGACTCTCCTGGCGCGCCACAATCCGGAAATAACCCTGCTTGAAAACAAAACCGGGAAAATGTTTGGAGCTGAAAATAACATGTTGGGATGGATATGCTAACCGAAGCAGGAACACCGCGTGTGCACTCACAGTGAACCGCATCAGTTTAAGCTGCAAGAGAAGTAAGTTAGTGATTGTGTACGTTTGTGTGTATGCGTGTGCGGGCGTGCTCGACACGGACTCATAATTAAGCCCCAGCTCGTGACGGCTCCTCCGTCACATGGGTTTTTTTTCTTTTACATTTTTTGCCAAGTCATGCTGAGTTTTATTTTTCCTAGAGAATCACTTCCTAGATCTGGAAATTACAACCGAAGTTAATCATCATCCAACTAGAAGAAGCTAGGCTAACTTGTTCTTAGCAAAATATCAAAACATTCCAAATATTTTTACTTATTTGTTGACGTACAAGTTGTTGAATGTGAAAAACAAAACATTGTTACTGATCTACCACTATGTTTTATAGACATGGCTGTCATTTTGGATTTGTGACATTTGAACCACGCAATCTTTAGCTATTTTCTATTCATTCCCTCCCTTTCTGAATAGTACATGTCTATTGAAATCCAGAGCGTGGAATATATGTTCTTGATCATAACATGTTACTGTTCCAGTGTGGCCTGTATCTAATTTTACTTTGTTTTTAGAAAGGATCAGACACCCATTTGGGATTAAAATTTCAGTGCTCTATATGTTCCCCCAAGTCCTTAGGCATAGTAGGGCAAGCCGTTAGTTTCATGTTCACCTTAAAGCATCCGACATGTTGAATTAGGAATTCTTTATCATTGCAGACTGCAAAGGGTGGTCTGAGTTTAGGTGATTATTGGATCATTGCTAAGATGCTGTTACTGTTAAGTTACTGTTCCATTGATTCAGCTGCAAGCCTATGTGTATGTGGTATACATGAGGTTTGAGAACTATAGTCCTCAGGTGGTAGACTTTTTTGACATGTCAAGAAGTAGTAGAATGGTGTGTCTGGTAAATAATTTGCTCCCCCCACCTGGCTAAGTTCATTTAAAATAGTTTTTTATACATCTGTAGAGGCAGAGTAAGCTAGTTTTATAGTTGACGCATTGAATTGAGTGCAAGGGAATGCGTACTCAATTGCACCGTCCCTGTACCTGTTGGCTTTCGAAATTATGGTGCTTGCCCAAATTTTAAAACTTTTAATAATTCTTTACACAAAAACACAGAGGATTGCTCTAGCGCGCCTATCACCGGTCTTAGCAGGTTTTCTAGAGGAAACCCTGCACATGTAGCAGTTTGAGAACCATGGCTCTACAGACATACATATCAGAATGGTAGTTGTCATGATTGAACAAGAAATCATATCAACCTTATCCAACATGTCAGTCACTTTAATAGCTTAATATCTCACCCTTTAGCCTGACAGAGCTCTTACTAAGCGGCTGGATAATAGAAGGAAATTATGCACAAACGCTGCCTTGGGAAGAGAAAATAACCGGTTCAGACACATTTCAAAGAGATGTAAATGCATAGAGCTTGTATATGTGTATTTTGATGTTTCTAGTAAGCTTATAGCTAATTAAGCGTGGTATATCGACTGTCATATTGTGAGAGTATAATTAAAGAAGTCTTGTTCATCTCCCCCCATGCAGCAGTCTCCCCCAATCTCTCACCAGCTTATTTGGTTAAAATAACTCGTTGATTGGAAACGCCGTCGCCATTGCATTTCCAGTCGAATGTTTTACAGAAAACAAACGGCATTTTAATAGACCGTATGTGCTTTTGCTGGCAATTCCTAATTTCTGCGTCTCATATTCGAATTCGCAGCTTTAGCAACTTGCGTCCTCGTTTCTTCCACTCTGAATACCAGGATTTTGTTTTGTGATATTTTTCCTCCTCTGCTGTACTTCTCTTTTCACGGATGTGTGAAAAATTGCCCGCTGTGCCTTTTGGACGTAAGAGCACCAGCCTTTGCAAGAGATATGCAGAATTATTTCTCTTTTTGCTCTGCAGGCCCGGGTAGAGATCGAAAACGGAGCCCTCTCCATAACCGCGTTAAACCTATCAGATTCCGGGATGTATCAGTGTGTGGCCGAAAACAAACATGGCAGTGTTTATTCCAGTGCCCAGCTAATGGTGTTAGGTAAGATTGCTTCCCTTCTCCTGCTCTCGTTCTGCTTATCTTTCAGTGCATCCAATCACCTGCTTACATAAGGAAAGCAGTCTCGCTGTATAATGTTCCTGAGATATCAGTCTGCACCCTCATTTAATGTCACCGTGGGGCTCTGCCGGGCGAAAGTATAAATCTGATAGTGTCTCATTTTACTTCCAATCGTTTCGTCCATTGATTGGGGTGCTACGAAGGTGATGCCTCGTGGCATTATGCATGCTTTCTCATGTAGACCCTGTATCGATTTATTTGCAAAGCTTTGATGACTGGCTCCATGAGAAATTCAGTTCTCTCTCTTGGTAATACGATGAACACTTGATGGTCCTAATGAGGGCCCGCTCCAATGTGATGATGAGTATAGGCTGCAGGATGATTTTATGATAAACAATATGATGTTTATCTGCATCTGAAGAATGAAACTGCGCAGTTTTGTAATAAAGCTTGATTAAAACCCTAAATTTTGAAAATGTCATTTGCAGTTAAAACCAAATATTTTCATATCCCTAACATAAAAACTTTAATATTTACCCTAAAATGATTTGTTTGGATCGTTTCAGTATTATGAATATTTATTATTCCTGATGACTCATTGATTTATTGATCTGTACATTGAAATAATCATTAACTAATTTACAAATCTGTTGTTATTGGGAGTACACAGACTAAAAATTATTTGCTGAAATAGCTATGTAGTCAAAACAATAATTAAACCAAAACTTTACAAAAAAGAAACATTTTGCAATTAAGATTAAAAAACCTTCTACAGAGCTGCAGTTTAACCATTTGATTCATTTGCAAAGCTGGAAAATACTTTAGAACCAAATGCACTGAGGTTTACAGCTGCAACATCATAAAATGTGTGAAAATTTCAACCGAAAATTTCAATATGTGTTACACAAACACTCGTGTTTTCTCCTATATTTTTCCCAGCCTCACGCCGTCTTTCTGCTCCTTTACCTGCAGCTTCAGCTCCCAGTTTCTCCAGAAGTCCATTAAAGGCCTTGCTAAAAGCTCGATCAGGCAGCGAAGTCACTCTGGAATGCAAGCCTCAGGCCTCGCCCCCAGCAATTAGCTTGTGGAAGAAGGGGAACGAGATTCTGCTAAGAACCGAAAGGTAGGATGAGAGTCCAAATGCACATTTCCAGCAGCTCTCATTCACAGTAAACGCAGGCCGGCTCACTTCAACGGCGTGTTTGGCATTTGTGTTCCTGCATAAAAGAGGAGACTAATGAGGGGAAAGAGAGTGGGGGAAAATTCACCCAAATGGTAGTTTATATAGTGCTTGCTCCTTCATATGGAAATTGTTGGATATGAGATATAAAGACGCCAGGTGCTTGTATCAACACTACACGTGTTAAATAGTTAGGACAATAAAATGAGAAAGTAGTAAAGAAGTCAAAGTTATTTTTTTGTTTTTGGAAAGTGATTCTTTCACTTGAAGCATGCACCTGAAATTATCTCCTTTATGAGTAGTTTTAAAGCACTATTGGAATGCAATTGATGAAACTAACAAGGCTGCAGAGATGAAAGCTTGCAGCCGATTGGGGAGGAGGTGGGGCCTCACCAGGCTGGAAATCTCTGCATCGAGACTAGCAAGCAACATCAAACAGCAATTTCAGCTGCATAAAGCGGGAGCTTAGTTTATTTTCCTCTCTCGTCCCTCTGTGCATTGTTGGACTATACAGGAGTTTACAGAAAGCAACCAAAAAACATGAGACAAATCACAGGTTTGCAAAATCAGACGCATCGTCAGATCAATCCGTCTGCGGACGTTCAGATAACCAGGAGAAGAAAAGCAAACGCGGCAGTTAAACCAGTGACCGCACCGGCTTGAAAACAACTCTGGCTCGCTGTTTGAATCGCTCATTTTAAAGGAGTTCCGAGAAAGAAGAACAATGCAAGCGAAGAACTACGTCCACACAAGGCAAGACCGTGTCTGTAGTTGGAGATAATTGGTACGCTGTAAAAAAAAATTAAAATATGTACAATTTACAGTAAAAGAAAATACCAACAGCATTATATTACTGGAATTGCCGTAACTCAAGAAACATAAATTTGGTGTAATTTTTACAGTTTTCAAATGTAAACAGCACTGAAATTTATTGTGAAGATCTTAGAAATTGTAAAGTTTATAGAAAAATACCGTAATATTGCCAGCAGTTAATCTGCTAACCAGCAGGTGCTAACAAATGGTGCTCCAATCTACGGTACAGGTGTTCTAATTTCTGCTAATCCTCGCTACTATGATTTTTACTGACCTATTTTGTGAACAAGCTTATTCACATTATTTTAATTTAATTTCTTATTTATTGGAAATGCAGCAATTGTGAAATCGACATTAGCAGAAAATAGATAAAAATTTGTTCACGTTTGTAATAGAAATGACGTAGAAGTCGGATAAAATGCGACATGACCGTTTAGACTAAAGACGATTTTAAGACTTTTGAATCGGTTACATATCTAATGTATTACCACGTATGGAAGCGGCTCAAATTGAATTTTAGGGAGGTGAAAAGAGCAAAAATATCGACTGTTATCTGAAACTAGCCTTGGTCACATCGGACAGAAAGCCTCTGGGTGCATACATTTAAAAAATTTGCATAAAATTCACATTCATGGAGTGACTTCTACTTCTGAAGACATCTGGTTGGTTTGGATTCTATTTAGGGACATAAAAAAAAGCAGATTACAAATGCACACCACACTGTTCTGATTTTTATTTTTTTAAAGACATTGTGAAAAACCATGTGTTAGTTTCCATTAAGCTTCACAATCATGCACTACTCTCTTTGTGTTGTTTTCTCCCAGTAAAACTCATTCAATTATGAGGTTGTAACTTGATCAAATGTGAAACTTCCAAAAGTTATGAATACTTTTGTAGCTGAAAAGTAGGATTTGCTTTTATTTTGCAGGATTTCCACTTCCCTTGATGTAGCTCTATGCTACTATGTCAAACTTGCAGATTTTGGTCTAGACTGGTATATTTGTGAACATGTTTTAATTTCCTACTGTGTCAGAAGTTTCTCTGGCCTGAGCAGTATGAAGTCTTAAAACACATTTATTTATTCATTATTATATTTAAGAATGCTCTTTGTGAAGTGTATTCTTTACCTTATAATAGGTCCCAGAGTTCAACTTTTCACCCACCTTTAAGAGTTTGATTCTGTGGGATTCCTCGAAAAGCTTTGAAGTACAATCTAGGTCAAAGTGCTGTATAATCACTGTTTTATTCTTTTTCTCTTTTTTCACAATTTTGACAGAAATGTGGTTAAAAAGACACCATGGAGGGCACTGAGTTTTAACTAAAAACTGCATAAATATCATAAATTCAGAACAAATTAATGGGCGCAATTTGTTTAATACAAAACAAATTGTATTAAACAAAGAAAATGTGCACTCTTAACCGTGTTTAAATCAGTAAAATACCATTTCTTCCTCCCACAGGATCACTCTGCTGCCAAATGGAACTTTAAAAATTGCTAACGTAACCAAACGGGATGCAGCTAGCTACACATGCATCGCCAAAAACCAGTTCGGAACAGCAAGCGCAACTGGGAAGCTCCTCATCACCGGTAACACCTTCTCCGTTAACGCCAGGCACATCTGCATGTACTCACTCTCCAGTTAAAACACAGTTGTTTTTTTTTTTTTTCAAAAAATAAAAAAGCTGGTAATAAGATAAATTAAATATGTTTGATTTTCACCTGGTGGATTGCGTCAGATGTAAATGACGCTGGCTTGTGTTAATTCAGTGGGTGTAAAGTCAAAAGTTGCAGATGTTTTGACGTTAACAATGTGTGTTCACTCAAATTTAAAAGTTCAAGCAGCTCAGATCAAACTGGTATTTACTTAAAGGTCCCAGTGTGTAGTGACATTTGCTTAGTATTTGCTTAATATTATTTTATCTGGAAATAGTGTCTGTTTATTCTTGCCATACAGTCCTCTGCATTAAGTATTGATCGAAAGGTTTTGCCATACCAGTTTATTCCTCTGTATTTACTTTAGTTTCTTAGTTTATTCTTGCATAAGAATAAACTATTCTTATGCAAGAATAGTTTATTCTTACATAAGAATAAACTATTCTTATGCAAGTCAAGTTTCTATTAGTCAAGTTTCCTTTGACTAATATTATCCTCTCTTAGTTTATTGCTATGTCCACTTTAGTTTCTTTCCTGTTGCTAGATTTATTTTATGATTTATGGACGCTCACCATCAGTA